CAACATCCAACTGGCAGGTCAAATATTCGTGTCAATGCCGTAGATGTTAAAATGTAAAACAAAATAATAATTAATTTGTTGATAATAATTCGTTAGTTAGTTATTTCGTGGATTATTTCTATTATTTTGTGTGAAGGTTATTTTCTGATGTTATATTCCCTCGGGGTACAATTAGTTGTTATTAATGGAAACGCAAAGTCCAATCCTATTCATGTACAAGAAAATGTTCCCTTCATTAGAACTGACTGTGAGATGAAGATAAATCGCTCTACCAAGAACAATATCGGTAAAACCACTTAGGAGCTAGCCTGAGTTGGCATTGAAAGGGTGTGGGGGCGGAGTTGATTAAGCCTGAAACAGTCAAACAATTAAACTGTAAACCTCTTAACTGGCAGGACCTGTCAAAAAGACTTGTTCCAGTAATGAAGTTTTGTGTTCGACGCCGCGAGGTCACACAACACTGAGAACCAGCTGAAGGTGTTTGAGAAAGAGCATGCATTAATAAACACGGAAAAACTTGTCAGGGAATTAATCCATATTTATCCTGGGATATATATCATAATTTCGTCTCAGGGTTAAGTACAGGATATGTAATATTTTTTGAACTGTGAAAAGTAAATTAACTTTTATTCAACCTAATGTTACCTCCCACTTGTGTTTTATTGATGTAATCCATATTGAGTTACCTTGTGATGTGGTGTTGCAATATTCAAAGTAATTTAATTTGAAAGAATAATTTTTTATGATGTGGATGAGTGAGTGAAACATTAACACACACACACACACACACACACACACACACACACACACACACACACACACACACACTCCCTTTCTTTGTCAGGTTGAGGTAATATCTATCTGAGAACCTATCAAATTACCTCAGTATATTACTTGGCCACGTCGTAATAATAAAGAAATTCATGAATATCTTGAGCACCCACCTCACGCGCCACATTCTTCAGCCTTATAACTCTTGTGGCTGGTGAATCTAGGATGCATATTGTCTTAAATATTCAGTTAACATTATGATGGAGTACATTTGTTGCTGAGTCTAACTAGATAACTATTCTTACTTCTGTTTCATTACAAAGAAAGAATACGATTAACTTATATTTCAAACCTCATAATTTGATTTGATGTCACATTTGAGGTCGGTGAAGTAGAGACGGAGGGAGATCTATATCACGCCTACATAGAAGAGAAATGCCATCATGATATTCAGAAACTATCGATCCCCCACCAGGCAAGATTATCAGAGACAAGGTTAATGTATATACTATAGACAGAGCAGGCATACATGTATATATACAGAACAGGCATACACACAACATACACCAACAGTTGAGGTATACAAACAGTGATACACAGTCAATAGATTCAACCAATGATAAGCAACAAAGCCTTTAAAAGCTTACAGTATATCCAGTAACTCGTACAATACTCCTAAGACGACACCATTCACATCTCCCACACACCTGACCTAACAGTCTGTGTGATAAAGTGTGAAAATTGTGTATGTAAAGAAATGTTAAAGTTTGTTAAAGGTTAGAATTTTATACTGTACACTTGTCTACTGAGTGGTTAAATGAGGCTTTGTGTTGTGTAATAATTGGAGAAGAACAAGTTTGAGAGGTGTGTTGTCTGGTCATCTTCCTTCCTTCCTTCCTTCCTTCCTTCCTTCCTTCCTTCCTTCCTTTCATTCCTCCTTCCTTCCTTCCCCAATACATCATTTCCAAATTTGTCAGGTGTGGATATTGCCTCAAACGTACATGGACTGACTAGCCTGTTTCATTTGATTAAATTCCACCCCGTTTCCCCTTACCGTTTTATGAGGGAACGAGTTGGCTGCCCTCCCAAAGTCACCGATTTTTTTCCTTCGGTATTTCGACTCTTAACACTGTGTTGAAAAATGTGAAAAGTCTCATTGGGAAAATCCAGTTATTTGACATATTTTGCCGAGTTACGTGTTATAGTGAAATGGTTTTTATTACAATACTGCTGTAATTTGACATTTGCTGTTTTTGTTATTATTATTATTATTATTATTATTATTATTATTATTATTATTATTATTATTATTATTATTATTATTATTATTATTATTATTATTATTATTATTATTATTATTATTATTATTATTATTATTATTATTATTATTATTATTATTATTATTATTATTATTATTATTATTATTATTATTATTATTATTATTATTATTATTATTCCTACTACTATTCAAAGTCTAATAAGTATTTCCTACAATAATCTAGATATATATAAACCCCATCTACAAAATTCCATATATGATTTCTCACAAACCACAAACAGAATATATTACATATCAATATTCTTTTATATCGACTCAAAAGAATCTCCATATATATATACCTCAAGTACTGCTATATACGTGGTCACTCATTGTTATCCTAAGCCATAAAAGTACTGTTGATTATTTTAATTATTTATTTATCTCTATTAATTTATACAATTCCAGGTCGTGTTTCATCGCGTATATCTGATGTTGTTATGGTAACGCCACAAGAGCGATTCATAAAACGTGATGAAGAGTTATATCTCGTCTAATTGGTAATCGATGATGGACTATAAACAGTGTGTAGTAATCAGGGATATAACACGTAGTAAAACAGGCCATATCATTATTAACTGCTTACTGCCGAAAAATATGATAACGTTGAATGACAAGATTTTCTAGCGTTCAAAAGGGCCGTAACTCTGTCAGATGTGAAGGGAATTGACTGAAATGTTGTTCTTTACCTGTGAAGTGAATTGTGTTACATTTGGATGGAGTAATGACGTAGAGTGAGATGGTATGGAGGGACGGAAGGACACACAAATGGAAGGGTAGACAGATGGATAGACAGAGGTACAAAGACAGACAATTAGACACACAACCCCCACCCCTACCCAGGAGACAGAGAATAGACAGTATCAAACCTCATCAATCTCTACCCGTATCCTGACCTTCAACTCATCCCTGATATAATGAGGAAATTACCCCCTACCCTCCACCCCTCCTTCCTCCTCCCGCCCTCCCTGGCCGTTGTATGATGGCATTGAGAACACAAACTCCATACAATGAATCCACAAACCTTTCATTATTTTCTTTATTACGCCATTGATTAGGGAATTAGTATGGTTTGTTATAGGAATTAGATGTGGTTTTATTATAAGTTAATTGTTTGGTTTTATGGAGGTTTATTTAGGTTTTAGTTTTTGGCTTAAGTGATTAAAGTTATTTATTATGACGTGAAGAGGGAATTATTATTTTTTCACCTGTCTCTTTTTGTTCGTTTCTGTGTTAGTATTCATCTCTCTGTCTTCTTCTATCATTGACACCATTTATTACCTAGTGTGTCATCTCATTTTTTATTAGTTTATTTCAATTCCTTTAGTGTTACATCTCTACCAGTGACCAAAAGTCCTTGACGAATAAAATGATCATATGTTGCCTCCTATTAGAACTAAACTTTACTATTACATTCAAAACAAACATTTACATCAGTAACTCTTATGGCAAAAAATATATCTAATACCTAGAACCAAAATTCTCATAGTATAGATGTTATTAATATCTTAAAAGTCTTCTAAAAAGCTTCCTATTACAACTTTAACACAAATTATTAAGAGATATGGTCAAAGATCTTCAGGACCCCGGGAGAAATCATCTTTTTAAGAGGCTCTAACACACCTCATCAAATAATTACTTTTTAAAACCCACAGTGTCACGACCCTGGTAGTCTGAAACACACAACACCAGACCGACTCACTGCTGCGCTACCATAAACATCACCTTATCTCCAGTAGAGTGTGTGTGTGGCAATAACACCTCCAGACCTTCCTCATTCATTCCGTTGACACAAAGACAGTTGCCATTCTCACCTCGAAATCCTCCTCTCCATTGGCACTCACCCAAGACTCTGACATTGTCCACACACACACACACTCACACGCACACACACGTCAATTACAGCTAATCAGTGTACGTAATTTTTATTTGTGATTGATCGACAACTCTCTCTCTCTCTCTCCACACGAACGTAAATAAACAAATCACATTATTGGGCTACGTACCTAATTCATTCTTGTCATCATAAAGTATTTTAAAACATCATGAACTTTCTCTCTACAGGTAAGGAAAAAACAAAGGTAACTACCCTCCTCCCTCCTTCCCTTAATTAATGTAATATTCTTTTACAATGTTGACTCATTTTTCTACACAGTTAACTCTTGTCCCATGAATTCTAACAATTAAAGTTTTATATCCGTCGTAAAGGTTAGGGGACAGTAGAGTCTGGGTGAGTGAACACGTATGTCTCTCTGACTAGGATTAAGTTTTATGACTACGATTTGTGTTTATGTTTTAGTTTCCTTTTGTTTCTGGTTTTTTTTAATGTTGTAGTTATAATTTATTTATGTTTTGGTGTGTGGATTGATGTGTGGGGGTGGGTTGGTGTGTGTGTGTGTGGGAATTGTATCTTTTAATGGTGATATATGAAAAACTAACCCATATATAACCCTTTACATTCCCTTAATGGCAGGTTTATCCCAGTTATTTTACCTGACTATAAAGGAAGGCTGGTTCCATCTGTTAGTACAAAGTTCTCCCTGTTAATATTTAAAAACATGGTGGGCCAATAATCCCGTCCATAGGCTTAAATACATCCATGTTAATAGTGTTATTATTATCGCCTCTGTATCTGTATTTTTCTGGCTAAATAAACTGTTTCAATATCAACACCAATAGGAAGAGAGAACAAGAGTTGACAGATGTTTTCATGTTGTTATTTTCTTTTAAAATTACTCATTCCACTTTTAGATCGATTTAGGAGACGTGTTTCCAATCCCCCTAGACAGATGACGTCGCCCTCTCTCTCGTGCCTGACAGCCACAGTGAGTGCATAGGACAGAGGAAAAATCTGCAGGTGATCTAATAGCCAATCATAATGTACCTTTTATTGATGGTGATGTAATTTCAGACAGTGGCAGTGAAGGAGAAGCAGTGAGAGTGAGGATTGTAGCGAGGAGGAGGAGGAAGGGAAAAAACAAGCTCTTAAGTCATCCACGCTAGCCTGTACCATCCCGTCTGCATTTGTGTGCGAGGCAGGGGGGTATTTTTATCATTCTGCCGGATCAAGAATCTAAATGCAAAGATGAGAAATGCTGCTGATTGGGTAAGATGAAGTCGGCAACTGACCAATCACCGTGCAGTTCGAACGCGAGGGCTGATTTGTGGAAGTCGCTGCTGCCTGGCTTGTAAGCGGACGGTAAGTGCCCAAATCAGCAGTTGTAGGGGAGAGTATCCACTACAATCTCTTTATACTCTACAGACCATGAAACGTAAGGTCAGTCTAATATTTCAACTTTCTTTTTGATGTATGAGAGTTAATCTAACTATCTATTCCCTCTTCCCCACAAAACAAAACTGATATTTTCTTGTACTTGGTCTTGTTGCTCCATCACTCCAGCCATTACACCTTACTGGTTAGTGATGGCAGCTCAGGGGCCAGTGGAGATAGTCTACTGACCCCTTGTGTACGGGGATCCTCTTTGTGTTAAATAAAATCGTCTGGTGCTAAAAGAAAATATTTTTAAGTTTCGTCCCTTGAAGGTGTTTGTAGTACCGAGAGTCGAGGTAAATGTTTTTTGACAAGCGTAAATAATCAGCTTTGGAAGGATCCACTTTGCAGTAAGCTGTAGTGTATATTTATTTCCTAGACTCAGGTGTATAATATGTAAGACTGGAATCAACCCTTTGGTGACGATGATTCAACCCTTTGGTGACGATGATTCAACCCTTTGGTGACGATGATTCAACCCTTTGGTGACGATGATTTAACCCTTTGGTGACGATGATTCGACCCTTTGATGACGATGATTCAACCCTTTGGTGACGATGATTCACCCTTTGGTGACGATGATTCAACCCTTTGGTGACGATGATTCAACCCTTTGGTGACGATGATTCAACCCTTTGATGACGATGATTTAACCCTTCAGGACTGCAACTGATGAACTAGTTTTGATAATGAATTGGATGTCACAAGTCAACACAAAAAATCATTAATTATTACCTGAAAATCCTTGTGTATATTTCAAGAGTGAACAACTGGATAGTGTTCACATATACATCACAAATACACGTGAATATCGAGACGAGGTTTAAATCTGACAGGTCAAGGGTGAACAGAAAGGTCACTATATACAAGAAAACTCCGGATTTATACCAAGATTAGAAAAGAGATAAACGTGATGAAATACATGACACCATACGTGAGATTCTATAGATATCTGACTATGAGTTAAAGGTCAAAGGTCAAAGTTCATCAGGATATGGACAACCACCCCCACACGTTAACTGAACTATCATCATCGTTGTTTGAGGTGAATTTAATCGATGCTCTTTTTAAACTCCTAGTGGCTGTGTGGTCAGGTATTTAAAGACGTAATTCCAACCACTTAAGGAGTAGTTAACAGGTTAATTATACCACTCACCTGTCACACCTCTCAGGAACCACCAACCTCTTCTCGATTTTCTTAGAGTTAATGGAGAAAAGGTTAGGGGGGTGGAGAAAGACTGCGAGGACATTGTATTATATTATATAGTGTGTGTGTGTGTGTGTGTGTGTGTGTGTGTGTGTGTGTGTGTGTGTGTGTGTGTGTGTGTGTGTGTGTTTATTTATTCATTCCAAGAGTAAATAAATGTAAGAATTAATTTATAAAGTTTTCTAATAAAATTCAAATTATTCATAAACAATAAAGTAAAGTTTATTCTCTTTGTCATTAATTAATAAAATAAAATAAATCTGTTATAGCATATACTTACTGTTATTGATAATTAGATCTGTAAATATACACGTATAACAATATATAAATATACACTACATAAATTACTATATATTATGCTGCCAAATAGAGATTATATATTAAATTAAACTCTTGTAAATCTTCAAAATAATGAATAAAATCTGTGGGCTAAACATTAATAACCTAACCTGACCTGACCTGACCTTACGCCTTACCTGACCTGACCTGACCTTACCTGACCTGACCTAACAAAGTAATAAAACTCATAACATTGTCAATATCTTCCTCGTGTGAATAATTGGCTGTGCGCCTGGTCTCCCGGACTTAACCTGACCAAAATATTGAGGTTTTAGTCAATGAATAATGTGCTCCCTTGACTGACGCGAGGATTATGGGGTGAAAGCGAGGATAAAGGTGAAAGGCAATTTGGTTAGGATAGTTTAATACAGTGGCCTAACTCTCTTAAGACATATGGCTAAGCTTGATGTATAGACTCAACTTACTTTTTGCATCAACACTACGACACATTATATAAAAATATTTTTTTTTTCAATTTCAGCAGATAATTTTTTCTTTTTATATAGTTTACACGTTCATTAAAACTGGATATTTCTAAATGTCTATTTTATATATTTTATCTGGAAGTAAAATTGTTTTGAGAGGAATACTTCTTTTGGTGTTCTAAGTGTCAATAGCATTATACACTCGTTGGTCGTGGCACTGTCCATTACCACACAGTAATAAAAGTGTAGAGGTCTTACTGTAACTATATCTTGCGCTAGTCAGGCCGCACCTCGATTATGCGGTTCAGTTCTGGTGCCCCTATTATAGAATGGATATAAATTCACTAGAGTCCGTGCAGCGAAGAATGACGAAAATGATTCCGGGACTTAGAAACCTTCCATATCAGGATAGGTTAAATAAACTTAACTTGCATTCCTAGAAAGACGAAGAGTGCGGGAGATATGATAGAAGTTTAAGTGGATGAAAGGAATCAATAAAGGCGATATAGATAAAGTTCTTCTAATATCCGAGCAGGATAGGACTCGTAACAAGTTGGATAAGATTAGGTTTAGGAGATGGGAAGAACTGGTTCACAAATAGGGTGGTGGACGAGTGGAACAAGCTTAGCAACTTTGTAGTAAGTGCTGGAACGCTGGAGAGTTTTAAAAGGAGGCTAGATAGATTCATGGATGATAGAGAGTGGTAGTAACTCTCGACAGGAGCTGCCATGCACAGACCAACTGGCCGATTGCAGACTCCTTATTTTCTTATGTTCTTATGTTCTTAATAGCTTTAAAAGTTGTGTGTAGAGCGTCAGTAGCTATTTCTTCTCCCCTGATATACAAGAACGAGAGTCTTAGTACAGTGATTAACCTAATACAAGGAACACATGCTTACTTAATGACCAAAACTATTTACTGACATTCCTTTGCCTCTTCAGAACAAGAATCAGTCTCCAAAGATCAAACAGGAAGAGTAAATATTTACCAACATCTACGACAGTGAGATAACAACGTGATATAACTCAGGTACGGTAACGTGGGAGCAACAGATTACACTCAGGTAAGGTAACAGCATCGTCTCCTCTCTCATCAATGGGTCCAATTTGTATCCACCTTCACTCACCTTCATTTTCTTTTCTATTTCTGAATGAGAGTTGATTCTAAGAGTTTTAAGAGCGAAAGTTTATTTGTTGGTCTGATAAAAGTATGTTTGGTTGAGAGGTTTTCAATACCGATATCTGCCTCTTTGTAACTCGTCTCCCTGGCGAGTTATGACCCTTGGAGTTTTAATCTGAAGGTAAAATAATCTCATATATACGACTCGTTGGTTTTATTTGATATCATAGACGAGTGATGTGCGTCAGTGTGTTGTGTTGTGTTGTGTTGTGTTGTGTTGTGGTGTGTTGTGTTGTGTTGTGTAGCGTGTATGTATTATATATTAGGTGGTATAAAACTAACTTTCCTACCTGTTCAAAATGTTAGACATGGGGATTACAATTCTTTAATTACCTTTCTATGTCTCACTAAACATAAACAATAGACAAATAATATTCTAAAACTATTTAAATTATTTCTTTGATGTTTATTTTGATTATTAATGTTCTTGATGTATTTACCCCTCCAAAGAATTACAGAATCAAATCAACACTGACGATCTGTTGTTAAACTAATTGGAGTGTGTTTATTACTGAAAGGTAGAAAAATTCACTATCAATACACTCAGTAAATTTATTCTCATAGTGATGTTATATGTAAATTCATTTTATGCTCTAGTGACTTATGGAAAAATATCTAAAGTTTCCTCTGTGTTATTTAAACTTCTTCTTTCACATACTTATAATACTTTGTATACTTGTTTCATTACTTAACCAAATTATGTAACAGCACCTTCAAGGAATATCCACCAGTTTGTTCCTGAAGCACTTGAGGCATGAAACTAGTTACTGTAGTTATCTATTGTCGAGGTTTAACCAGAACAAGATTTAAAGATTTACAGACACTAAAAGTGATATTGTGCTTCGAACTTCCAATAAACACACACACACACACACACACACACACACACACACACACACACACACACACACACACACACACATTAAAACACTATTGATAACGATTTTCTATTTCCAAGACAGTCTACACCAGCACCATTGCATTCGGGGACAGGTGGGTAATTACTCGAACATGGAGACTGAACAGGTGGCATATTCTTTACCTCTCACCCACCTCTCACTAAAATCAACATCCCTGACGTAGACAATAAATAATGCCCACACTAACACTACCTCGCCATCAAGATTATCCTCACTGATTAGTTTTACCTGATGATGAAACACACCTGTTATATAAATCAGTTTAACTATACCGTACTCCAGTATCGCTCCAACAATGCTCCAACCCCACTCTAATACCGCCCCAACACTACTCCAATACCGCCCCAACACTACTCCAACATGCTCCAACACACCTCCAACAGAGCAGGAGTTGGGCGTATTCTTTGTGGTCAAAAGGTCCAGCCAGCAGAGGGTGGAGAGAGAGCGAGCGGTCAAGCCCCGTTTTTCATTGCACTTTTCACCGATCCAGGATTCAGTTTGGATCGTATCAAGTCTATCCTGGTCGAGAGTGGCTGTAAGTCTCTGATTGAATCCAGAAAAGCTGTCCTCCATTTGTTGACATTGGAGAAACAAACATTTATTTTACCCATTGATATTCACGTTTTTTTTTGTTCTTTGGGGGTAAATATTAATGTTAGGTGATTTTATTCATAGAAATATTTGTATATAACATTCAATCACAGTTTAGTTCATTATTTATATTCATTTCGCTCTTTTTTTTTAGAATAGATGACAGAAGAATATGTTGTTTCTCATACAAGGGACAATATTTAAAGAGTTTTATCCCTATATAAAGAAATCTGATCTCAGTATGATATTTTTCTTTGTTTAAACTGTTTACAATTGTCATAAGTTTGGTATTAGTGAACATCTTCCTTCAGTTTATTATCCGTCATCAAATTTATTCTATGTTGCCATTTAGCAAGTCTGACTAATCTAGCTTGGTGAGTTTGTAACCAGTTTATTCTCATTTAAAGATTAACAACCATAATGCTACTAGGTAATATTCACTCATAGTAAACTCATTTTAACATCAATTTCTCATCACAAACTCTATAACATATTAATACAATTTTATATAGATGGTCATAGATGATTATATAAAAGACTTTACATTTAAAACGAAAAAAAAAAATAAGGTGGTGAGCGCCATCTGGATTAAAAGAGTAAAACTAAAAATCTTCATCACAGGGTTACAATGGAGAGTTTCCCGTCTGAGTATTCTGGCACTACGTCATGAGGTAGACTAACACAACACAGGAGACGAAGATGGAGGACGTTGCTGCTGTCACGACCATCCCATCCCTGGAAAATAATCCCCCTTGAGTCGTCGGTAAAACAATTATTCCTATTATTAGATCATAAATATAACCTAAATGATAGTTAGGAGTTGTTGATGTTTATTATAATGAGTGAGAGAGTGTATTTAAGGGTTAATTAAGGTCAGTGTGTTGGGTCGTCTGGAGGTAGTTGGTAAATTTTCACCTTTGTTGACAATATATGAAATCGACGTTGAAATTATGTTTTTTTTTATGTTATGAACGAATTTGGGTTAACTTTGGTTAGTAGCCACGTTTAGGTTAGGTTAGGTTAGGTTAGGTTGGGTTGGTTGGGTTAGGTTAGGTTAGGTTAGGTTAGGTTAGGTTAGGTTGGCAAGTACTGGTTCTGTTACACACTGTTGATAAGTACTGGGCATGTACTGGCTCTGTTACACACTGTTGATAAGTACTGGGCATGTACTGGCTCTGTTACACACTGTTGACAAGTACTGGGCATGTACTGGCTCTGTTATGATAGGTACTGATACTGGGTTGCTCTTTGTTGCATATGATGTATTTGTTGACAAGTACTGCTGTCTGGCTTTTGATACTGCATGTACTGGCTCTGTTACACACTGTTGACATGCTGATTAAAACTTACGGGCAGAGTGTAATTGACATTTTAAATATATTTAATTATTTCAAAGGTCATTAATTAACACAAATTACTCGAATTTTTAAATTGTCAACCCAGATCCTTAATCAGCATGTAAAGTAGCACCTATGTATAAAATTAAACATAATCTAGTTTTTTACCCCTGTAACAGCACCTTTGTTTTATAAATATTCACCCAAATGAATAACACCAACTTATTCACCAAGTTATTCAATAATGAGTCAACCTGTTGTTGACAACAGACGGCTGAGCTTGTAACTCTCTCAGAGGTCTAGCGCAGGTCATCTGATTAATAAAAACAGCTGGCTCGCTCCCACGCCTCTCAGACAGAGAGAGGCCAGTTGTAGTAGATTCTTGACACTTGAACTGGGAAGAGACAAGTACCTTAAATGTTATCTCAAAGTGTATTCATAAAACTTCCCTGGAGAGAATTCATAATTCATTCTCTCAGATTATATTTGTGTATACTGTAAGCTGCTTCTACAATAAACCTAAGAAAACATCTATAAGTGTTTACATCAAACCCAGCCACTTAAAGAGTCCCAGAATTTATTTAAAACAAGTAACGTGATACGAAAACAGCTATCACGCCCCAAATGCCCAAAACTAAGGAGTATTTTTTACGTAAATCGATATTTTTGTGGAAAGTGAAAACTAACGGGCAGAGTGTAATTGACATTTCAAATATTTAAATTTTTTCAAAGGTCAATAATTAACACAAATTACTCGGGGCATCGCCCCTAGGTACCCTCCGGAGGGCGGCGCTCCCAAGGACCTCCGAAGGGCGGCTCTCCCAAGGACCTCCCTAGAGCGGGGCGCTCCCAGGGACCCTCCTAGGGGTGGAGGCTCGAGGGCCAGTGACCCAAGGGACACATTCGGGGCGGCACCCCCAGGGAAGGCTCCCTCAAGAATGGCTCCCCAGAATTCCTCCCAAGGACTGTTCCACAAGGGACAACTCCCCCAGAGTCCCTCCTAGGGGTAGCGCCCCACCCCCAGGGACCCTCCCATGGGCAGTGCTCCCAAAAACCCTCCCAGAAGCGTGGCCGCCAGGGTCTCCTAGGGGCGGTCCCCCAGGGACCTTCCCAGGGGTGGCACCCCCAGGGATGGCTCCCCCAGAAACAGCTCTCTCAGAGTCCCTCCCAGGAGCGATACCCCAGGAACCCTCTCATGGGTGGCGCCCTCAGGTGACCTCCAAAATGCTGTGTAGCCCCTAGGGAGCCTCCCCAAAGGCGGCGGTGCCACCAAAGGCACTACCAAGGGCTGCGGCGCCCCCAGGGTCCTACCCAGGGATAGGGGCGACCCCAGGGGAGGCGTGGATCCCAGGGCACTCTCAGGGTCGGAGGCGACCCTAGGGTCCCTTCCAGGGACTCTCGCAAGGGCGGCAGTGCCTCCATGGGCCCTACCAGTGGTGCCGACGACCCTAGGGGACCTATCAGGGTCGGCGGTGCCAACAGCGACCCTGCCTAGTGCTTCGGCGACCACAGAAGCACTCGCAAGGAAGGCGGCAAAACCAGGGGCACTCTCAAGGGCGGCGGCGACCCCAATGGCCTTCTCAGAGACGATGACGACTCCAGGGTTTCCTCAGGAGTCCTCCCAAGGTGGGCGGTGACGCCAGCGGCCCTATCAGGGTGGCGGGATCCCAGGGACCATTTCAGGGTCGACAGCGACCCCAGGATCCCTCCAAGGGACGTCTAGGCCAGGCCCTCCCTAGGGTGGAGGCGACACAGGGGCTCTTCCAAGGGCGGTGGTGCCCCCAGGGGCCCTCCCAGGGTCGGTGGCGACAACACGATCCTCCCAGACGCCCAGGGAGGACCCCAGGGCCCCCATGAGCGTAAACGAAATCAGGGGCCCTCCAGGGGGAAGTGCAAGCCATCAGAGACGGCAGCGACACCCAGAGGCCCTTTCTGGAGCTGCGGCGACCCCAGGGGCTCTCCCAAGAACGGGGGCAACCCCACAGGCCGTCCCAGAAGAAGCAGCAAACTAGGGGCCTCCAGGGGCAGCGGACACACCAGCAACTATCGCAGGGGAGGCGGTGACACCAGTGACCTTCCCAGGGCGAGTGATTCCAGGGCTCTA